GTATAGTCGGGCTGACCGGGGTTATAAAAAAATGTATATACATAGATTTGAATATAGCTAAATGTAAGTGTTAACACTATTGAGTGTCAATGCCAGCGATTAAACGCAGTCATTAACATTAGAGCTTGGACTAAGCGCTGTCCAGCTCGAAGCAAGTTGACAAAGCAAACCCTAAAATGGCCACGCCCATGACAAAAAGTCGGTTCCATTGACGACTCGACGATGACAAGAGCAAATGTGTCATGCAAATGCCAAATGCGATCGCTGTGCAAATGTTTGCTAAAATATGTTTTAAGCCACTTCACAGCTTCACAGAGTTGATGCGGGGCGCACGGGGCGTATACGCGATGCATGCAAACAGCTGAAGCTGTGATGCTGCTGCTGTTCGTGCTGCAAATCAAAATGAAAATGAAAATGAAAACAAACAAAAGCAAAGGCGAAACGAAAAAAAAAAACATTCAACTTGATATTTAATTAGCACGCAAAACGTTTGCTTCCTTCCGTTGCTTATGTCTTTTATTTATTTATTATTATTATTTTTAATGTTGTTGGTGCAGCACGAAACGTTTGAAATTGAAATTTTTAGAAATAGATGCTTAATATATGCATCGATATGATTTTGACAAGGTCACAATCAGCAGTCAACAATAGAGCATCATTTGCTTATAATTTAAGGAAAATTACAACAATAAAATTATAAACGATATTTCATCCAATCAAAAACAGTTTTTTTTTATGTAAAAATGAAAAATTAGTTAGTAGCTCCCGCAGTGTTTGTAATCCACTTTAGATGCATTGATGAGCCAGAGAGGGTATATGGGTTTTAAGTTGTTGAAAGTTCAATGCTCAAATTTCAACAATCGACAAATATCGATATTAAATATCGATATTAAAAAAGGTTTTTGCTAAGGCATCAATATTCTAATGCCTCTACAGTGCTATATTTATAGGCTATGCTTTGATAGCACTTTTAGTAAATGAATTTTAGAGCTCTATTGTGTATCAATTACAGGGTATTATCTGTAGTGTACTTAAATCCCAAAGATAATCGAGTTATGGAAGCCATCTCTACTAATCATTCTCTATTATGACACCAATATTAATACAATAATCGATAATTATCGATTTTGTGGCTCAGATTGAACAAAACGCGGTCTTTGAAGACAATGTCTATGGGCTATGTGCAAGTCATGTATACCCAATTGGCTATGTCTCTGCCTTTGACCACATTTTGCCCTCGCTTTCGCTCAGATACATATGTATATGTATATGTATGCATGTATTGCCGGCGTATAGCATTGTTGGCGGGCGTTTAATTTAATTATATATCATTCATTGTATGCCGTCCGTCGACTGCCACACGTGATTAGCCGCATCTTTGTCTTCTGTTTTGCTACCTGCTGCGCCGCAGCCTCCGCCCCCGTCCCCGCCTCCGCCACCACCTACGCCTTCGTCTTTATCTGCTTCTTTTTTGTTTAGCTGCGGCTGCATATGATGAATATGCATAGATATTCAATATTTTGTGGGCCAGTCAGCTTGTTGCTTCATCTTGTTGTGGAATTTTTCGAAATGATAAATTGGCCACAAATTCATGCGAGGTGGCAAAACGCCAATTGGCCAGGCGACGACAACGAGAACGAGCTCATTCTGCATAAATTTGTGAATCAACAACTCATTTTTGGGCGCCACAAATTAATTTTGTTATCCAATTAGACCAAGAGATTCGTATGTGTTTAGGGTTTTTTCTGAAATTTTAATTGGATTTCCTATTCAGCCATAAATGAGATATAATTGCAGGTAATTGGAATTACCCAGTAGGAAATGATTTTTATAGTATGTATAAATATTTCAAATTCTGTTAAATATTTGATTGACATATATTTATAGAGCTTTTACGACAAATTTGTTATATGATATGATATTAATATAGCTACTGTATCTGTATCTACAAATGGGTATGATGAGATCTCTATGAGTCTACTTCGTATCCGTATTGCTCATTCCATATTTTTCGATGCGTTCTTCTAAGCTGAAAACATGACCAATTCATATTGTGTTTCTTTTTTAGACCGAGTATCAACTAGTTGGATACTATCATTATATTATAAAAAGTAAAAGATGAATTCATATGAATATGAAAATGATATATGACCCATTAAATGCAGATAGCAGAATACCAAGCATTCTTCAGTCTAGTCACAATTATTTATAATTAATGTACTACTATTATTATCATAATTATTCTCTGCAAATATTAATTTTGTTCATTCATAACTTCCATTAGCTATACCAAGTACACGGTGCAGCATGGCGATGAGAGCGCCTTTCAGTATATGGTCGATCTTCAGACAAACGATACGGAAGTCGATTTTTGGCTGTTGACACGGAACATGTCCGTCCTGACGGTGGGTCCCAGCCATAAGCCGCAGCTCGAGTCGCGCCTGCTGCAGCTGGACGTGCAGTATCAGACACAGCCACTGATGGATCTGATGGCATCGCTGGAGGGCAACAGCACCTATGCTAAAGAGGATGAGTACGAGGAATGCCAGCCCGGAGATTGTGAGTCCGATCGGCCGCACAGTCGCAAGCGTCGTCAGGCGCGCAGCTTCTTTTCGAGATTCCCGCGCTATCACGAGATCCTCAACTTCATGAGCAACCTGGCCGCACGCTATCCCCTATACTGTCGCTACGAGTCCCTGGGTCGCTCCAGCGAGGGTCGTCATATCGCGGCTCTATCGATTTCCCTCAACCAGCGTGTGCGTCCGCGTCGCGTCGCCTACATACAGGCAGCTACACATGGCCGGGAGTGGATCACGACCCAGACGGTTCTGTATTTGGCCTATGAGCTGCTCACCAATCTGCGTGCCTTTCAGCGTGTGCTAAACGATGTGGAGGTGTTCCTGGTGCCACTCGTGAATCCCGATGGCTATGAATATACACATACTACGGTAACTAGCCTAAAGAGTTGTAGATGTTTGACTGACTCACCTTATTTATCTGATCTTATTGAATCTGTAGGATCGCTTTTGGCGCAAGAATCGTCATCGCTATGCTGGCCTCTCGTGCACCGGCGTCGATATTAATCGCAACTTTGGCAACCACTGGAACTATCAGGGCGCCAGCCAGAATGTAAGCGACCTTCCATTCTGCACTTGACTTTGACCTTCATTCATAGCACAATTTCCACTTTTATTATATATACAAATAGCACTGCTCGGAGGTCTATTCGGGCACCTCGCCCAACTCGGAGCCGGAAACGGCGGCTGTGGTGCGCTATTTGGAATTCAATCGTCATCGTGTGAAGCTCAGCCTGGATGTTCACTCATTCGGCAAATTCATTTTTTATCCCTACGGCTATGCGAGGTGTGTAAGAAATTCAATTTACTTTTTCAATTAATTGCCAAAAGCAATTAAAACCCAAATATTTCCCCTGCCTGCTGCACTCTCTCTGTATCCAATTGTAAACAGTTTCACACCAACAATTTGTTGCCTATATATCTCACTCTCTCTCTCTCTCTCTCTCTCTCATATAGAAACACTGTGCCACCCACTGTGGCCACATTGCGCTCGGTGGCGCTGAGAGCCGCCAACCAAATCGGCAGATATCGCGGCACCCGCTATACCGTCGGCACCTCAGCCTCCATACTCTATGAGGCTTCTGGCAGTCTGGATGACTTTGCCTATGGCAGTCTGGGCATACCCTTGTCCTACACGCTTGAGCTACCCGGTGAGGAGTTCCATGTGTCCCCCTTTGACATCATCCACGTCTGCAAGGAGACATTTGCCGGCTTTATCGAGTTCATTCGGCACGTTAGCCTGTATTAAGTTGTGCGGTCCCCACTGAACATCTTTAGCATTTAGCCAATTGAATTTATAATTGTTAATTAAGCTAATTATTATCGTCGTTATTAGGCATTAAAGATAAACAAACAGAAAAAGAAAAAAAAAAACAATACTTTGTTCACTTATTGAACCGGTTCGCTATGACTTGAAGCCCTGAACGATCCAGCTTAATAATATTTGTTTTATCGCCAGCCATAAACGGAAGCGTCTGCAGTCCAAATGATAAAATTAAATTATTGGTATCGTAATCCAAGTCTAATCATCGGCATTAGCTCCAATTAGCTGATAAGTGGCTGGGCTATGGCATGGGTATCTGACATTTTTGGGGCATAGTCTTGCTGGAACTTTACACAAATGACATCGTACGCTCTCTTGGGTTGGGTCCTGCTGGGGCTGCTGCTGCGGTTCGACTGTATATTGGCCTGGCAGGATTACAAGGATTATAAGGTATACGAGCTGCAGCCTCATGACGATAACCAGCTGCAGCTGATTCGTAAGTGGGCGCAGGAGCAGCCCGATTGGGATTTGCTGGGATCACTGCGCAGCTACAATGACAAAGGATTGCGAGTGCTGGTGGCGCCGAACCAAGCGGAAAGTTTGCTCAAGCAATTGAAGGCACATCGGATAGAGCATCAATTGCTCTCAGATGATTTGTCTCTGTTGGTGAAGGCACAACGTGAGGACAATCAACGCAACAAGGCGCGCTTCACGCTGCCTCTGATCGATGTCCTGGGCGCATTTTATACCCATGCCGAAATCAATGAGTATCTGGACAGTCTACCCCAACGGTATCCGCAACGTGCACTGGTCAAGCACTTCGGCTGGAGCTACGAGCGTCGCCCATTGAAGGTGCTGACCATCACGAATGGTGACGGACGAGCGAATAAGCCGGTGATCTTCATCGATGCTGCGATGCACGCTCGCGAATGGATTGCACCCTCCTTCGCTCTGTATATCATTCAACAGCTGTTAGATAACTATGCGGAGAATGCGGATCTGCTCAAGGACTACGACTGGGTGATTATGCCGGTGGTCAATGCGGATGGATATGAGTTCAGTCACACGGACTCGCGCTATTGGCGCAAGACTCGCAAACCCACCTGGGATCCCGAGAACATTGGCACCGATCTGAATCGCAATTTCGGCTATATGTGGGGCCTCGAGGACGGCGCTTCGCCGGATCCTTCGAACGAAACCTACCAGGGCGAGCACGCCTTCGATCAGCCCGAGTCGCAGGTGGTACGCGATATACTGCTGCACTATAGCGACCGTTTGACCTTTTACCTTTCACTGCACTCGTATGGCAACTACTTCCTGCTGCCCTGGGGCCACACAAGGTGAGCAGAGAGTCCATGAAAAGTTACTGAAAAATTATGTAGATAAAGCATGTGTCGTAATATATTTACGTTGGCTGAATTTCAAAGAAACAAATTCAATATTGACTCATTTCCATTGGGCTGCATACTCTTATCATTTATTTCATTGTTATTTTTCATTACTCAATCATCGATATATAGATAAGTAAACTCTTCTAATGGCTTTACCTTTTTCAGCTCTTTGCCACCAAATTTTGATGAAATGATGCAGGTAGCTGATGCGGGTGCCATGGCAATCCTTTATGCAACGAATGGCATTTACAGTTATGGCAGCGGCTACCATTTGATGTACGCGACCTCTGGTGATTCCACAGACTATGCTGTGGGCGTGGCCAATGTAAGTGTGGCCATTACCATGGAATTGCCTGCTGGCGGATTTATGGGCTTCGATCCCTGGGTATCGCACATCGAGGGCATTGTGACCGAAAGTTGGGTGGGTGTGCGTGCCATGGCCCTGGAGGTTATCAAACTCTACCAAAACGAGGCGCAAACAAATGTTAATTAATAAAAATTATTTTTCTAGAGAATTTAAAATTGTTAACTTATTTATTATTTTAATGGAGTTTTATATATGGTGTAAGTTCCAGGGATCTGAATCACTACTTGGATGCAGTCGGTTGGTAATATTTTTGTCGTGCACCCTTTATAGGTTTTTGGTACCTCATTGACAAGAGGCCTTATATAGCCGTATGCAGATGTACTTCCGCGAATTTTACAGTTTTATCAATAAGATGGTAAAGCCAATGTGACTGGGAATGTTTCCTGCACTGATTTATAGGCCTTCATGACTATTCTCCACTTTTTCAAACATGCTTCAATGAGACAAACATGTCCAGCAATAATCATTATAATTGCATTACTATCAGAAACACAAGAGCATATAATCTACTACTATTACTATTATGAACGTTCTTTAGTTAGATATACTATCAGTTTGGTATGTGTGTATAGCTCTCTCAATTTCACTATCTCTCGTTTTATTCCTTTAAGTTTTTAACACATATGTGTGTATAGCTCTCTCAATTTCACTATCTCTCGTTTTATTTCTTTAAGTTTTTAACACATATCAGAGGGACCAATAAATGCCTATCGATGTTTTCATTGATTTTACAACCAATTTGTTGATAATTTTTAGTGTGTCTCTTAACTTTTAGGTTGCGCTCTATTAATACCGTTTCTGATTGGAAATCAAGCTTGGCTATTGTATAAGGCAGTTCAGTTGTTAATAAGTCGACAAGCTGTAAGCATGAAATATATTTTATTGTTCGTTGTGTGGTCTTATGGTATAGCTCTAAGCTATGCCAAGGGTAATTTCTATGATGGGTGAGTGTTTGCCTGTAAAGTGGATGCCTAACTAATCGTAGAACAGCTTTAAGATGTACGAGGTATCTATGATGGATCGGTCCGCTGGACAGGGCTTGGACTATTCGACTCTGGCAAATAATAATTCATACTATGAAGTCGTCTCCAGAAATGGAGTAGCTGCTCATATCCTGGTGCATCCCGATGCACAACCAGATTTCTTGAATCTGCTCGATGCCAATACGATGAACTATAAAATAGTTCATAATGATGTCGGTTTATGGCTCAAACGTGATTTTGAAATGAATCAAAAGTTACGCAATTTGTACCCTTACCAAGGAAAGCTGGGCACAGAGCGGTATTACTCACATGCTGAGATCAATCAGTTTATTGAGGACCTGGCTAAGCAGAATCCCACACGAGTTGAGGTCAAGACGGTGGGCAAGTCCTTTGAGGGCCGTTGGCTAAAGACGATTCGAATCACCAATGGAGACGGACGGGCTAACAAGAATGTTATACTCGTGGACGGTGGCTTCCATGCACGTGAATGGATCTCACCGGCTGCAGTGGTGTATGGCATCAACGAATTGGTCAACAACTACGAGGCGCATGCCCAGCTATTGCAAGACTACGATTGGGTCATTCTACCCGTAGTCAATGCCGATGGCGGCGTAAGACTCGTCAGCCAAGCAGTGCAGATTGCATCGGCATCGATCCTAATCGCAATTTTGATTTTCACTGGAATGAAACTGGTGCCTCCTCGGATCCGTGCTCCCAAACCTATGCGGGACCAAGGGCTTTCTCTGAACCGGAAGCAATTGTGGTGCGTGATCTGATACACAGTCTGGCGGATCGTGGCAAAATGTATTTAACAGTGCATTCCTATGGAAATTACATACTCTACCCCTGGGGCTATATCGAGTGAGTAGCTAAAAATAATTAAGAGTAATTAATTAAAATTTTGACTTCACAGCTTACTCCCAGACACCTGGGAGGATCTGGATGAGGTTGGACGCGCTGGTGGAGATGCCATTAAAGCGGCTACAGGCACCGTTTACCAGGTGGGCTGTTCCACCCAGTTGCTGTATCCAGCTGCCGGTGCTAGCGATGATTACGCTTTCAATGCTGGTTTTCCTATATCATTCACCATGGAACTGCCCGCTGGCGGTGATAATTATTTCGATCCTCCACCTACGGATATCGATAGGCTAGTCAAAGAGACCTGGGTGGGCATTGTGGCAATGGCTCAAAAGGTGGTTGAAAAATATCCACTTAATTAAACTTTTGAGCAATAAAATTTAAGGAAAGCAAAATTATTACAAAGTATTTGATTTTTGAGCCTGGGTGTCTAGCGGAAAAAACTTAATAAGAATGAAATGGATAGGCATTCGCGCTAATTCTTTGTATTGCTATAAGCAAAACGTTTCGATTAACTTTTGTGCTACTTAAGGGATAATGATATGATCAACATATATTGAATAGTTCTCACATATTAGTTGGTAAAATTTTAAGCTTGATTTTCTTATAGAATGATTTTAAATTCTTCAAACAGTTTGGATTAGATTAGATAAGATTTTGAGTAGTCTATAAATCCGAAAAGTTAAAAAACCGTAGTTAATCTTTAGAATCAGCACAAAGAGTAGATCATCATGTCTAGCAAGGCCATTAAAGTCTTATTCAGAGAAGATTTTCCCTGGTTTTGCAGACGATAAGAAAGAAATATAATGGGAGTCTAATCCAAATCTAATCTAATAGTATGGGTTTTACACGAAATACTCTAATCAATTAACTATAATTTGGAGTTAGATAAGATTTAACTTGGCTATTTAAGTGAGCTGCTTGCGACACGTGTGTCCATTATTGAGTTGAGCTATGTCGCGTTTGGGTGTTTTGTCGCTGCTGCTTGGCTTGGCACTGGTTGCTGCCGAATATGACTACGATGGGTGAGTCCATGAAGGATATATAATGTTTAATATTCTTGACTGACATCCGATTGCCTGCAGCTATCGTATCTATGAGCTCAGAGCGGCCAATGCTGAGCAGGGGGAGCTGCTGTACAAGCTGAGCCAACAGGGCTACGACTTCCTCAATCTACGTCGTTTGCTGGGACAATCGTCACGAGTTATTGTGAGTCCCGATCAGTTGGAAAGCTTCGAGAAATTGCTCTCGGAGCACCAGTTGAGTCACAGTCTAATCAATGAAAATTTGGGTGCCACCATTGCCGAGGAGTTTGCCCAGCGACAAGTGCAGCGACGTCTGTCGCCCATCTCGGGCAAGGGCCGCCTCAGCACGGACCGCTATTACACACACGAGGAGATCACCAACTATATCAATGACTTGGCAGATCGTTTTCCGACCCGTGTGTTTCTCAAGACTGTTGGATGGTCATATGAAAAGCGTGAGCTGAAAACTATTACAATAACTAATGGCGATCGTCGGGCCAACAAGAAGGTCATCTTCATGGATGGTGGCTTCCATGCACGTGAATGGATATCTCCAGCAGCTGTACTGTATGTCATTGAACAGTTGGTAGAGAAGTTCGATGAGAATGCCGAACTGCTCAAGGACTATGACTGGATCGTTCTACCGGTGGTTAATCCAGATGGCTATGAGTATACGCAGACAGGAACCCTAGCTCGTTTATTCCGTAAAACTCGGCAGCCGTATAAGCTTCTGGGCCAGACCTGCTATGGTGCTGATCCCAATCGTAACTTTGACTTTCACTGGAATGAGGAGGGCGCTTCATCGAATCCCTGCTCTGATACATTTGCTGGGCCGCAGCCTTTCTCGGAGCCAGAGACGCAGGTGGTGCGTGATATATTGCACACGTATGCGGATCGAGGCATTATGTATTTGACAATTCACTCCTATGGCAACTACTTACTCTATCCATGGGGATGGACTTCGTACGTCATTGGCTAACATTAATTTCGATTGCATGACTAAATAAATCTATATTTCGCAGAGAATTGCCTGAAACTTGGCAGGATCTTGACGATGTGGCTCGTGCTGGCGGTGATGCCATAAAGGAAGCGACTGGAACTGATTACGCGGTGGGCAGCTCTACCAATGTGCTATATATAGCTGCTGGTGCTAGCGATGATTATGCCTTCTATGCTGGCTTCAATATTTCCATTACCATGGAGTTGTCTGGAGGTGGCATAACAGGATTTGATCCTCCTGCCAGCAAAATTGACGAGTTCGTAACGGAGACATGGATTGGCATTCGTGCCATGGCCGAAAAGGTTATTGAAAAGTACTAAATATAATCCGATAGCTCTAGTCAAACATGTTTGAATAAATCGAAGGTGGAGATAAGATTAGATTAGAGTACTTTTTCATACAAGCTAAAAAGCTCTAGACGAGGGCAACCGACAAGGAATTTTTCGGTGATCTGCGCTTATACTCCATAGAGACACTAGCTCCAAAAATATACGAAATATAAACATGATTTTCCATTTTCAGCCTAGGGTTTAAAAATAGGTTTCAAATAGCGTCCTACTATGCGATTCTAACTTAGCTTGCAGCTCATTACGACTCTGTGTAATCAGCCCAATAATTATGTTAGTGTTATTTATGTTCTTTAGTTGATACCAATAGTTCATTAATTTGACAACCAATTTGTGGATAATTTTAAATGTTTCTAAATGTGAAAATGCATTACGTTTCTAATTGGAAATCCAGCTGGGGTGTTGGGTATTTATAAGGGGGTTCAGTTCTTAAAAATTGTACAAGCTGTAAACATGAAGTTGATTTTATGGGTCGCTGTGTACTCTTATGCTATAGCGCTAAGCTTTGCCAAGGGTACTTTGTATGATGGGTGAGTGTTTGCCTGTAAAGTGAATGCCTAACTAATCGTAGAACAGCTTTAAGATGTATGAGGTCTCCATGATGGATCGGACCGCTGGATGGGGCTTGGACTATTCGACTCTGGCAAATAATAATTCATACTATGAAGTCGTCTCCAGAAATGGAGTAGCTGCTCATATCCTGGTGCATCCCGATGCACAACCAGATTTCTTGAATCTGCTCGATGCCAATACGATGAACTATAAAATTGTTCATAATGATGTCGGCTTATGGCTCCAAAGTGATTTTGAAATGAATCAAAAGTTACGCAATTTGTACCCTTACCAAGGAAAGCTGGGCACAGAGCGGTATTACTCACATGCTGAGATCAATCANGGCAAGTCCTTTGAGGGCCGTTGGCTAAAGACGATTCGGATCACCAATGGAGACGGACGGGCTAACAAGAATGTTATACTCGTGGACGGTGGCTTCCATGCACGTGAATGGATCTCACCGGCTGCAGTGGTGTATGGCATCAACGAATTGGTCAACAACTACGAGGCGCATGCTCAGCTTTTGCAGGATTACGACTGGATTATTCTACCCGTAGTAAATCCGGATGGTTATGAGTATTCACAAAAATCTCCGAATACGCGTGTGTGGCGTAAGACTCGTCAACCAAGCAGCAGACACTGCATTGGCATTGATCCCAATCGTAATTTTGATTTTCACTGGAATGAAGCTGGTACTTCCCTGAATCCCTGTGAGAGAAACTATGCGGGACCAAAGCCTTTCTCTGAGCCAGAGACAATTGTGGTGCGTGATCTGATACACAGTCTGGCGGATCGTGGCAAAATGTATTTAACAGTGCATTCCTTTGGAAGTTACATACTCTACCCCTGGGGCTATATCGAGTGAGTAGCTAAAAATAATTAAGAGTAATCAATTGAAATTTTGACTTCCCAGCTTACTCCCAGACACCTGGAAGGATCTGGATGAGGTTGGACGTGCTGGTAGAGATGCCATTAAAGCGGCTACTGGTACCGTTTACCAGGTGGGCTGTTCCACCCAGTTGCTGTATCCAGCTGCCGGTGCTAGCGATGATTATGCTTTCAATGCTGGTTTTCCTATATCATTCACCATGGAACTGCCCGCTGGCGGTGATAATTATTTCGATCCTCCACCTGCGGATATCGATAGGTTAGTCAAGGAGACCTGGGTGGGTATTGTGGCAATGGCTCAGAAGGTGGTTAAAATGTATCCATTCAGTGGGAACAATTCGATGAGAATGTAGGGTGCCACAGATTTTTTAAAGTATATATAATCTCCATCATCATCATCAATATGAATTCAATTGTATTACGATTCTAAACAGTTCAAGTAAATAGTATGTGTGTTGATTCTCTAAGTTTTCTGATTAAAAATGAGAGCGATCTCTTCCATCTGCTCAATATAATAGATTCCAATCAGACTTCGCCTCGTTCTCTTACTCTATGTTTCTCTCTGCTGATAACCTTTCAGTTAGAATTGATTAGTTTTACAAATTTTTAGTTTTTACTAAGTAGGCACTGTGTTCAGATGAAAATTTTGTGGTTCTTTGTTTGCTGCCTTTGCATAGCGCTAAGCCACGTCGAGTGTGGCCTATACGATGGGTAAGCGCTTGACTATAAACTCTTTAGAATATATAACAAAGCAATGCTTTTATTTTCAGCTTTAAGATCTATGAGCTGGCTACAACAAATCAAACAATTGGCGATGGCTTAGACTTGTCAGAGCTGAGCAGAAATGAGTCGTTCTTTGAGCTGTATTCCATTAGTGGTTCACCTGAACGTATGATGGTACATCCCAAAGCGCAGGCGGACTTTCTACATTTGCTTAAAATACACAATATGAGCTATACCATTGTTAACCATAATGTGGGCCTAACGTTGCTCACAGAATTCATTACGAATAGTCTTCTACGCCGTATGTACCCCTACCAAGGAAAGCTCGGCACAGAGCGGTATTACTCACATGCTGAGATCAATCAGTTTATTGAGGACCTGGCTAAGCAGAATCCCACACGAGTTGAGGTCAAGACGGTGGGCAGGTCCTTTGAGGGCCGTTGGCTAAAGACGATTCGGATCACSAATGGAGAYGGACGGGCTAACAAGAATRTCATACTCGTGGACGGTGGCTTCCATGCACGTGAATGGATATCACCGGCTGCAGTGGTTTATGCTATTGGGAAACTGGTCAACAACTACAGTGTACACTCTCAGCTATTGCAGGACTACGACTGGGTCATTCTACCCGTAGTCAATGCGGATGGCTATGAGTATACACAGCTTGCGGCGGATGCGCGTTTATGGCGCAAGACCCGTCAGCCCAGCAGCGCGAAATGCATTGGCACAGATTTGAATCGTAATTTTGATTTTCACTACAATGAAACGGGTGCTTCATCGAATCCCTGCGAGGAAGCCTATGCGGGTCCAAGGGCTTACTCGGAGCCGGAGGCAATAGTCGTGCGTGATTTAATACAGGGTTTGGCGGATCGTGGCAAAATGTATTTGTCGGTGCATTCTTACGGAAGATATATTCTCTATCCCTGGGGTTACATGGAGTAGGTTGACGTGTGCCCATGAATTGCTCTCGTAACTAAATCGCTGTTTGCTTTGCAGCCAATTGCCAGATACTTGGCAGGATTTGGATGAGGTTGGTCGAGCTGGCGCGGATGCCATTAAAGCGGCAACTGGCACCGTTTACCAGGTGGGCTGCTCCACCCAATTGCTGTATCCAGCTGCCGGTGCTAGCGATGATTATGCCTTCAATGCTGGGTTCCCCATATCATTTACCATGGAACTGCCCGCTGGCGGCGATAACTATTTCAATCCCCCAGCTGCGGATATCGATGGGCTGGTCAAAGAGACCTGGGTGGGTATTGTGGCAATGGCTCGCAAGGTGATCGAGAAGTATCCACTCAATTGAGGCATTTTTGAACCATTTTTGTTTTCTGCTAATATTCTATGGATTTTATATTTACTTTTGCTTTAAATTTTAAGTGTACCAAGAAAGGGACAGCGAGATATGTTAATGGTTGGGTTTGCATATAGCTATAAGGCCAGTGGAATGCTTAGCGATAATAGAAGCTGAGCGAATGCAATTATTTTTATACATATATATATATATATATATATATACGTATATATTGCTTTAGTTAATTGTGCAAGGTGCTTAAAGCAACACTTGAATAAGCCCAGTTAATTGGCGRCGATAGCTGAAAATGTAAGCACGCAACGCACAGCAGGCGTTCGGGCCAATGTGGCAAGTATGTCACTGCTGGAGCAGTCGCAGTTTCAATGATGCCATACTCCATGGGTGGCACTTATCAACAATTGAAATGGAACTTCAAGCACATACACACACACACACACACACACACACACACACACACACACAGACACAGACACATACACACGTTGTTTGTCGTATATAAAATAGCATTGGTTTTATTTGCTGTATTTAGGCCTTAATACTTCTGAATGACCTTCTCGGCCATGGCACGAATGCCCGTCCAGGTCTCGGTGACGAAGGGCAGTATCTGATCCGTGGATGGATCGAAGCCAGTGCCGCCGGCGGGCAGTTCCATGGTCACGGAAACGGGGAACTTGGCAACGCCAAAGGCATAATCATCGCTGCCACCGGCAGCGGCATAGAGCACATTCGTCGAGCTGCCCACAGTGTATTTGGTGCCCGTGGAGGCCTTGATGGCCGCGGCGCCAGCTTGAGCCACCTCATCATGGGCGCGCCAGTCGGCGGGCAGGTCACTAAACAAAAACAACAAAGAGAAACGGAAATAGTCAACTAAGAGTTGGAGCTTCTTGTTGTATTCAATGCACTCACGATGTCCAGCCCCATGGATAGAGCAAGTAGTTGCCATACGAGTGGAGCGTCAGGTAGAACTTGCCACGGCCCTGCAGGCTGAGCAGCAGGTCGCGCACGAGCTGCGTCTCTGGCTCGGAGAAGGCCGTTGTGCCCTTGTATGTGTCGGCGCACGAGAAGCTGGAGGCGCCCACCTCGCCCCAATGGAAGTCAAAGTTGCGATTGCCGTCGGTGCCAGAGCAAGCGGAGCTCACTGGCTTGCGGGTCTTGCGCCACATGCGCGAGCTGGTGTGGGTGTATTCATAGCCATCGGGATTCACCACGGGCAGAATGACCCAATCGTAGTTCTTCAGCAGATCAGCATTGGCCACAAAGTTCTCCACCAGCTGATAGATGACGTAGAGCGCACCGGCCGGGGCAATCCATTCGCGTGCATGTATGCCAGCATCCAGGAAGATCACATTCTTGCCGCTCTTGCCGTCGCCGTTGCTGATGGTGATGGTCTTTAGGTCGCGATTCTCGTACGATTTGCCAGCCGTTTTGACCGTGACGCGGCTGGGATAGGCCTTGGCCAGCTCGTCCAGGTAAGCATTGATCTCGTCATGACGATGGAAGGCAGTGAAACTGATACTGCGCTTCGTGTCACGCTGGGCCATCAGGCGCTGGCGCTGGTTCTCCAGCTGCTGCTGCTGCAGCGTGTTGCCCACGTTGTTGTCGATCACCATGAAGTTGACAGCGAAGCGTCGCAGCAGCTCCTCAAACGATTCCTGATCCTTGGGCTGCACCATCACACGCGTAGCCACATCCAGGGCACGCGGCATATCGAAGAAGTCGTAGTCCACATTGTTGGCCAGACGCAGCAGCAGCTGCTTCTCGAAGTTGTTGCGTGCATAGATGTCATAGATCTTGTAGCTGTTGAGAGTTACAAAGTTAATTGTGCATTAGCTGATGCATTCTTTGCCAACCAGCCACGCCCCCCAAGCACTCACCCATCATAGCTTTGCGCAGACAGCGCAGCGACGCCGCACACCAGCAGCAGCAGGCAAGTTTTAACAAACATTTTTTTTTTGTGCTCCGTTCCGTTCCGGCTCAAAGCGTCTATTAAAGTGAAATGCTTCAGCTGTTCTCTTTATATAGTGGCAGTCGATGTGCGGAACACTTGACGTATGCACAACGCCTGCGATGGGTAGAAAATAGTAGCCAGAGCCAAAACACGATCAGAATGAAAATCTTATCAGTCTTATCGAATGCTCTGGTTGTGTATTGTGTCAAATGCTCGACTAAATTTCATTGGAAAATCTCTCATAATTTATAGTATACAGACGCTAGATGACATTCGATAATCACTCCAAGTTCATTGATAACAACCAATAGCATGGGCCAACCAAACAAAGTGATGCAATTTGTTGAACTGCGAATGAGAGAGGGAATGTGGAGTTATAGAGGCCGAACTTATATTTTGGTTTTAGATGGGGGCCTTACGACGGTAAAAAGAGGCTTAATGCTTGATTAGTAAACTCTGTAGGCTTGTGCTATGACTAGTTTTATACATATAACTTAGTCTCCCCTTATATAAATTGTGATTTAGCAGTTGTATTCATAAAAATAGCAGCGGGCACAGCAATACTGATAAACATATTATTTTTAAAATTATTTAATGATAGTATTAAAATGTAATTTATTTATATTATTTATAAAATATTTACTTTACTTTTTTGTTGTGGATATATTTTTTTATTTATAGAATATTAAGAAACTATGCTTATTCTGAAAATTTTATTGTATCATATTTAAGTTGCATTACTATGTTTATGAGTACAGTTATAGGTTGGCTTTATAGATTACATAGAACTTGATTTTCTAATAAGTAATGAACCAAAAGAATCAACTGTACTTGACTTCAGTAGTTACTAAATCCTGTAGGCATGTGTTATGCCTACTTCTATACATATAACTTGTTCGCTCTTTATATAAACTGTTCGAATTATGTTCATTGTCTTCAAGCTACTCTCTGCCAGACATCTGTATTCAATTCTTATATAGAAGCATTAACATTCACTTCTTTTTGCTGTAGATAACAGTTTATATTTGCCTTGATTTGAGCTATTCATACTTTCATATGCTTGCTTTGTTCTTGCCTCCAATCCATCTCAAGTTTTCCCACTCAGCGCTAAAATATTTGTAATAAGCCTTTGGCAATTTATTGACTGCATTTCTGATAAAAATCGGTAAAAATCTGAATGTCACACGTCTTCTGTTTTCTATCTCCAAATTAAGTCGCTCGTAAATTTGGCGCGTGAGTTTTGCGCAACGCAGCAAACATTGATTTATATATTGCCTCTGACTTTGTTTAGTTATTTGCGTCTTCTACAAGTTTTAATCATTTGCAAAGTGAAGCTCTATCAGCATTGTCGAACTGACTTATGGTGCACTGTGCAACAAAAAAAAAAAAAATATATTGAAAGTTACGGAGTGAAACAACGAAGTTGAGTATACACAATACCCTGTAAAATGTATCATAGGATTGGATATAGAAATCACTTAAGAGGAGCTCAACAATTTAGTAGGCTTGGAAATTCTTGCATATTTAATACCCTGTAAAATGTGTCTTGAGATAAAATCGAAATTGAACTTGAGGATTTATTATAAAGCCAATTTGTTAAGCGATCAACCATTCTAGAGAATTAATGCATAAAAACACCCTGTAATATGTCTATTAAAACAATATGTGTAAAAGCAAGTAAATTACTTTAAAAACTTGTTAAAAACAAAAATATAATATAGTTTCGTTTAGGACTTCTTCTCAAACAAAAATTATCTTCAGTTTCTTCAATAGATTTATATACTCCTCGAATTGCTTATTCACAGGGTAGCTGAGTTAATAAAAAATAAAGGATGCTGTCTACTTTTTCTGTCGCGCACACAAAATATATTTGAAAATTTATTGCATTTCATGCGCTTTTCCATATTTGTCTGCATTTGTAGGCAGTTTTGGTCAACAACTTTTGCCGGCTGCTGCAACAGCAACAGCAACAAAACAGGACATGCAGTCAAAATAACAACAACAACAGCAACAAAAAGGGAAAAGTTGCTTACTTAAAACTGACAATGAGCGCATGGAAATGACAAAAAACACTGCGGAAACTGTTGGCTCGTAATTTTTGAATGGCCCATTGGACGCGACAGTCAGTTTCCCTCCACTTTCCCGACGCGCCGAAACTAAGCCAGAGTGCGGAAAAGTTTTGATATCCTGCAGAGAAAAAGAGTCGAGGGTTGTGATAGATGTGTGTGATTCGTATGAGAAGGAGAGGATGGACGATATGAAAAATGTGCTTTAAAAGCAGAAAGAAAAGGATAATAGAGCAACGGTAGATTGATAATTATAAATCGATAAATAGAATTTAATCGATATACCGATAGACTTTAGCTGTGGCAGAACTTCTTCTAGTATATATGAAGTCAACATAATGAAATGATAGGATATCTATTAGTCAATCATTCCTTGCATTCCGAGCATCGCCTACTGCACGTGACTGCCAGCAAATGTGTGTAGAGTTTTTGGTCGTGTTTTTATATTCATATTTTCTTTTTTGTTTTGCCCACAAACTTTCGGAAAAGTTGTGCCTGTTCTGCGTATTTGCATTGACAAAAGAAAATGCGGCATTGTTTGCGATTTGTTTTGCGATTTGTTTTGCGATTCATTTGCTCTTAAACAATGCACAAATTATTTGCTAAGCTGCCTTTAATGTTCTCTTCACGACTTTAATTGAAATGGATCGCCGACTCAGAGAGGCTGTGACTGAGACGGAGCAAGAGACTGAGGCAAATCACTCGTAAGTAGTTTCGAAAATTCATTTAGAGAGTCATTTGCATAAATATGCGGGCAGCAGCGATACGAAAAGTTGTGCTGCGGCGGCGCTCTTTAATTTTCATTTTGCATAAATTAAAAGCCGAATGTCATGGCAATGACTAAGCCCACAGTGGACCAGCTATCGTTCGCTATGAACTTGCGGCTTTATTGCTCTATTAAGGGACCCCAAAACCCCTTTCTCTGGCCAGCGTAGCCGTTCAGAGTGTCAAAAATTCTGCCACATAGCAGCGGTTAAGAGCGTGGGAGAGGAAGAGAGAGAGAGAGGGAGAGCTGAAAGGGGGTGAGTTTGACTTGGAAGTTGGTGTTGCGCAAAGATTTTAATTAAAATTCATCTTCACATTTAATCAAATCATGGCAGTGCCAAGACAGAGCGAGAGAGACAGAGAGCGCTAGAGAGAGAGAGAGAGAGAGAGAGAGAGAGAGAGCGAGCGAGAGCGGGACCTGCCACTGACATCGACACTCGTTTCTAATTAAGTGCGAAAAATCGTTAAATGTAAAATCAAATCGTGCAAAAAGTAATTGAAGAACTCAACTTGAACCACCCGGAAAAGGGGTGTGGCCCCTTTCCCCCGCCCACTAAACTGTTTTCCATGGCTTGAACTTGACGATGCCAAGTTGTAAATTGAGTGGAGTATTTGCTGTTGTTGTTGTAATTGTTGTTGTTGTTGTTGCCATTGTTGCTGGATTAAGGCCACAACACAATAGCGCACAGTTTGTTGTTGGCGGTTTGTCGAGGGAGTGGGGGCCGCGTGGGCGGGGGCAAAGGCCGGTGGTGTCAAATATTTACAATCTATTACGTGCACGGATGTATTTGTAGTTAGGTGTTAAGGCCAAACAATTGGCTAATTAAAACAAGCTCTGCCTGTGGCCAATTTTCTTAATTGGCAGCTAAAGGCATTATGTTTCGCATATCTCAAGAGCTGAGGCACAATGTTTCATCTTTAAAGTGTACTGAGAATGGGTACTATAAAGATTTATTAATTACATAAAGAATATTGAAAACGTGTATAGAACTGCGAATTTTTATGGACTCGAATGACAGGAAATAAATCAACTCTTCCATGTGTTTCTTATGGGCTCAAACGGATTGACTAGCGAATTTTACGGCTCTAGGTTTCTAGTATGCAAATAATATACGGGCAAAAGTGTCGTTATATATACAGATTGTTCCATTCTGACAAACTGGTTCACAAAATACAGAATCAGATCCGAGCCTACCCGAAGTTGCTGCACAGATTAAGAGCTGCCCAAGTTTTAGGTCTACTGTATGCAGATTGAAAGTAGTTCATAATTTGGGAGTATTTAGAGTTATCAAAAATAATAATACTTAATTTTTTAATATTTAATTCAAAAGCTATTCACGACTCAGAGTCGAGCTAAATTTATACTAAAATATCACCGTTCAGTTCCTCTTAAACTATAAATAGAATCTCAAGGGTATTGCTTTGCTTTGCATATGACACACTTCTGAAACACCTACAATCACACACACACACACGCAGTCAGTGCCTGCAAAGTGTCTATGACAAATGGATGGCAGTTGGCTCAGACAATGGAAAGGAAATTGTGGCATAAATTAAAATGTTCTGCATTGAGATATGCAGAGACGTTTTAATTGCACTGAACGGATTTATTGAGGGTTGTAAAGAGAATAGGTGTATGCATGTATTTATATACATATATGTATATGTATGTAAGCACAAATTAGTTGCTGCGAGCTGATTGTGTGGCATCAAATGTCATTTGAGAAATTAAGCTTTAATTAAGCCAAGCAGGTAAGCCAAATAAAAGCATTTAAAAAACAAAACAAAAAATGGGGAAGAAAAAACCAATGCAGAAAACTGAAAACAAACAAAATGAAAAGCGTGGGGCAAACAGAGAAAGCGCAAAGCACAAATGACAAACGAACTGCAAGCATATACGACACACACTCACACACACACACATTCACAGTCGGAGGCAAGTAAGTCGTATTAAATTTAATTGGATTTGAGTGTTTACCAGTGGCAGAAGCCGTCGGCAAAGCCACAAGCACCAGCTGAAGCTTTCCACATTGCTCTTAGCCAAGCCCAATGCGTGCGACCTACTTTTTTTTTTTTTTTTGTATTTCTGCCGGTGTGTGTGTGTGTGTGTGTGTGTGGCAGCAAAAAATTTCATACATATCACAGGTAGCATGAGGCTTAAGCCGGATTTTATAGACTGCCAGCCAACTGGGAGAAACAAGCGAAAACC